CCCACCTGGATGGTTCATCTGAAGAGAGAAGTACTTAAGAATCAGATGCCTTCACAGAAAACAGATGTTGACGTTTTGAGTGCATTCAGCTGGCTGTGGTTTGGGTATCAGCTGTGGCTTCAGTGTTTGGTGAGGGATTTGTCCTACCTGGATTTAGATCTATTGAAAGGAGATCAGATGGCTGGACTGGATGTAGGTGTCTACAAACTTAGGTGAAATGAGTTTTACCCAAGCTGTCTACACTGGGATTAACTTCCATGCTCAAATTCTTACCTTTCAGTTTTTTGATACAGTGAGGGTGAAGTCCCAGTAGGTGCAGTTCCTAGACCTTTTAGCATATTTCCTAAAGTTTTGGGCTTTGTAAAGGCAAGCCTTGAAAATGATTAACAGATAGTCTATCTGCTAGTGAGTTAATACGTACATCACTTGGAAAGTAATGCCTCCTATTTATTAAGAAGGAAACTACCGTTGATACAAGGTGTATAATAACACTAATCAATAGAACAAATTCTCAACTACAAAACAAGATTTTTCAACGTAGTCACCTATATTAGCTGTGCATTTTGCCAGTGATGAACAAGAGCCTGCGTGCTAAACTCTTAAAATCTGCACCAGAAGAGGTGAACCACTGTCACTGTTGCCACTGCAAGAACACACCACCCACCTCCTCACTGAGCTGACACACACAGTTTGATCTCCATAAATGTTCTGTATGTCTTTATGAATCTCAAGGGTTGCCATTTTTTTCCTCAGGGAGGAATTCAATTACACACCTTTGATTCAAATGAGCTTTGAGATCAAATGCTATTTTTGTCAAAGCAGTGGCTAGAGGCTGGTAGATGCCCAGGGACATGCACCACGGTGTGGACACTCTGGTGTTGGTGGCTGAGCAGCAAATCTATGCTATCCTTCATCATCTATGAGGAGCACCCGAAGCAGAGAGCCCAGCAACATAAGAACTCATTTCTTTGACTGCATTTCACACTTCCTCTGTATAATACCAGAAGAATATCCCTGCTCACATTTAGACTTGGGGTGATTCAGCAGATTTTCACAGAGCACTTGACCTCGCCTGCACGTGATGCCTATATTGCTAACCATGTAGATGAGGCAGAAGGACGGGGCAAGGGTGTTCATGCAGTACTGTCTCTTAGGAATCAACATAGTTATCTAAAGACAACAGTTAGGAGTTTGCCCTCCTGATATCAACCACTCTCCTTTCATCATGTCCTACTGTCATTAGTAGCAATCATTTCCCTTGGTCAAATCCTGGGTAATATCTCTGACAGAAAGTACAAACCACTTCTATGTCCAATAATGAGATTCAGCAGAAGAAAATGTCCTGAAGGAACATCTGCTGCCTCTACAGGAAGGAAACAAAACTGATGAAGGATTCATGCTGAAATAATTGATAAAATGTTTTTGTAATTGATGATGAAAAGGTACAAAATTAGGCACAGAGGCACAGAGTTGTCCTAAATGATGATGACCTCTCACAAGTGTTACACGTGTGCACTGTCAGCATTAGTCAGGAATTAATTTCCTGTAGTTAATAAGTGATTAAAACTAGATGTTTTAATTGATTAAGAAACAGTGTTACCCAACAACAGAGATGTGTCTGCAATTTGCTTTGTAGGAGGGGCTCCATAAAAAAAGCTCCATAACCTCAGGGCAAAGCTGCTGAGAGCTCTGAGCGAGATCCAGTCAGTGCAAGGTAAGCTTTTTAACTTCTGAGTATGCAAAGGGAATTAGTGTACTTGAAGCTAAAATCTGCGGATGGATTTTGTGAATTAAATATCTGCAAGAGCATTCTTTGCTAACATGCTTTTGTGCATCAGATGATTAATTAATAATCAACCGCTTTGTATGCACACAGTTTGAAGAAAGATCAGTTTAGATCTCAGAAGTGTGAAGTGGTTCCTGTTTTAGAGACAATGGCATATGCTGCTTACCAGGGGGATATGTTTTGTTGTAGCTATTTGCTTTTTGCTGCTGTTCATACTTCAGCTTGTTTGTTGACTTGTTTTTCATAACTGTGACATGAATATAAAGCAGGTACTGCCTACACTGTCACTGTGTTTGCTGTGCACTGGTTCTGAATGGGGCAGGTGCCCACGTGCCTGGAGACAATTATTTCTTTAAATCCCAGCATGAGCTGCAGTAGAACTGAGCTGGGATTTTACTTTGGCTCTGCCTGTGGTGACAGCAGCCAAATGATACCAGAGACAAATTCAATTCTGTATTTTCAAGTACTGGCCTAAAGAAAAGAGAGGAATGGGGACTGTTCTGAATTAGATCAAGCGTGTATAAGGAGGGAGGGGAAAATCTTTCCTGTCACTTTAAAGTGGAGCCTAATGGCTACCAAAGAAACTACAGCAATTACTAAGTTTATATTGTGTATGGAGCAATGTGTATTACACAACCAGCCTTTCCGGCAGAGCTGAACACTTTGAGCTGGAAGTGGTCTTTGCTTTGCACATTCTCTGATATGGGCCAAATTCTTTCAGTACACAGTTCTGCTTAACTAAACTGTGTGTTGAAAATTCATTACAACCTTTCAGTCTATTCTCTCTTATGTCATCTGATTTGATGACAGCTCTGCATCATCAGTCACTGGTTTAAAAGAAGACAACTTTGAGCAGAGCTTGAAAACCAGCTGGAGATTCATGAACAGCGTTCTGATCCTGCTTGATTTGTGATAGTTCTTCCTTATTATAGGTAGCAGGAAATCAGATACGTGGAAGCATGTCTGGGAAGCCAGTTCTGCACTATGCCAACACACGAGGCCGAATGGAATCAGTACGGTGGCTGCTAGCGGCTGCTGGAGTTGAGGTTTGTCTACGGTTGTTCTACTAAAAGCATGTGACAAATACTCACTTACAGTATTCCTTATAAGAAAAATGCACAGCCATTACAAAACAAAGGATCATCACTTCCTTACCCTTTGCAGGAGGAGCAACTTCCTTTTTCACTTCCAAGCATCATGTGACGAGCACAGTCTTAGCATTATAAGCACATCTTCCTTGTGACTGATGAAAAAAATCATTTCAAACTTGGCTTATTGTCCTCTAATCAGAGGAGTCAAGCACTTTATGTTCTGCAGGCCGTTAGTTGAATCTCAGTGTACAAAATAGCATATATATTATGCCTATTACAACTAAGTTTATCCCTGAGCATACTGTATATTAACAAAACAGTCAGAAGCAGTCAGAAAACAATTTTCCTTCTGTATTCCCTGCAGTTTGAAGAAAAATTTCTGGAAAAAAAGGAAGATCTCCAAAAGTTAAAGTCGGGTAAGTTTCCTTCAGTTTTTAATGATCAGATAATAATGACCTTTAGAATTGTGTGTTCTAGAACATGAGAAGAATCTTATGTTTCTTGAAAAGAAAACCTAGACTGGCTGGTACAGATGGAGTCACAGACACGCACTGCAATAAGCATCACCTCAGCGTCCATCCAGCACAACTCCTGAACTCCTGCTCAAGCAGGGACACCCAGAGTAGGTCCCCAGGACCACATCCAGGCAGCTTTTGAAGATCTCCAAGGAGGAGACTTCACAGGCCCTGGGCAAACTCTGCCAGCACTCCATCACCCATACAGTAACAGTGTTTCCTGGTGTTAGATGGGAACCATTTTACTCATTGTCACTTGTTCTATGTCAATATATTATCTGCAGTCAGATCATTTTGAGGTATGAGTACAAATGAAAATATCTTTAATAGCAAAAGGTTTCTGTTTGTGTGCATGCCTGCCTTTGTGTGGCTACAAAGGTGGACATAGCTGATGGGTTAGCTGTGTCAAGGAATGTGATTCCATGCAGCAAACACTGTTTCTTCCAACAGTTCCCAGAGGTATTTTGCCTTCTTCCTTCCTAGTGTAAGACTTCCACAGACAAGCCAGAGATTTACACAGCTACAGTCTGACACCAATTGGTATTTGGCTTATGCAGGTATCATATGAATTGCCAAGCATTATTCCTTGCTTCAAGCATGGTTTTGTAGATAGCCAGTGTAGGAGTCATAAGGATAAATATCAACATGTATATTAATGTAAAACATTAACAGAAGTCTGGGTTTCCAAAATCCTTACTAAGGCATAACATAATTTGGTGCATGATGGGTCAGATCCTTTAGTGTTTAGAATCTGTACTAACCTCAATAAAAATCAGCTGAATTAGGCCACGCAGTTATGGACTTGTGTTTTTCAGCATATGATTGCTGAGAAATCTGCATTTGGGTACTTCTTCAGATTTGAAGAAACTTCCAGAAGCTTTTAATGAGTTATTAGTATATCATTAATAAATTGTCTTATGGCAAAACATTCCACACCATACTATGGGAGTGAGGAATCAAAAATAAAAATGGTGGCTATTTTCCCATATCCCTGTAGATGGTCTTGAATCACAGACCGAGCGTCTCCTTGTCTTCTTCTTCCCCAGATGGATCCCTGCTGTTCCAGCAAGTGCCCATGGTGGAGATCGATGGGATGAAGTTGGTGCAGACCAGAGCCATCCTCAACTACATAGCAGGGAAATACAATCTCTACGGGAAAGACCTGAAGGAGAGAGCCCTGTACTGTACCAGTACTACCTTTGTTTGTTAGCTTACAGCTGGTACTGCTTTTCTGCATAACAAAATATGTCGTGACACAGAATATCTCAGCTCACATTCAGAATCACAGTGGTTTAGCAAGTTTTTTTACAGCATGTGTTGACTGTGACTGTGGGTGATGTCTACAGTAGTAATAAAAAGATAGATAAGGCAGGCAGGATGGCGTAAGGGAATTTACAAAGATCAGAGTCCAAATGGTTATCAGAAAGAAAAAAGCAAAAGCACTGGGGAACCATGGTTTAACCTGAAGTATGTTAAAATGCTTCAATTTAATAAGCATAAGTCAAGATATCTGTTAGGAATTGTATAGACCCACTGTTTGATTAAACATAGCTAATGAGAGATTTGGCAATGGTTTGGATATACATATGCCAATTTTGTATCTGAAAAAACTTAATACAGAGAAGTATCACCCCTGGTGAAAAATGAAGGGGTACTGATGGGTTTAAGCTTGTTGCTGTTGTGCTATTCAGAACTCCTATATTTGACTTGACCAACTGGATCTGTTCCTTTCAGAATTGACATGTATGTGGAAGGATTGGCAGATCTGTATGAGTTAATCATGATGAATGTTGTCCAACCAGCAGATAAAAAGGAGGAACATCTTGCTAATGCTTTGGACAAGGCTGCAAACAGATATTTCCCAGTCTTTGAGAAGGTACGTGGCAAAGATTTAGTAGCTTAATTAATATTGTTTTCCTGAAATTTCAGTCATGGTCTACACAAACATTTTTTATTCAGGAAAACAGAAAGGGCAAATTAGCACATAAATGTAGACGCTGTGGTTTTGGTAGGAGTGAGATGAGACTGGAGACAACAGAGGAGGCAAAAGACACTGCAGATTTAGGAGATATGCAGAGCTGCAACAACCCAGGACACACTGAGTTCCACAGATGTCCACGTTTCAGTCTGCATTTGTTTCAGAAAAAAGCCACAACAGCACTGGCTTTTACCTGAAGCCTCCTCCTGAAGTACAGGACCCTCTGACCAAACATGCGTTAGAACCATTGCAGCATACATACAGAAGAAGGAGTGCAGGTCCTTCTGTAATTAAAAAAGAAAAAAAAAGGAGAAGATGGGTGAGCTGGAAGCAGGGTGTCAGGAAACTGAAGCATGGGCTACATGCAGAGAGTCCCCAGTGCAATATTCCCCAAACTGAAGCAGTAGCAGGTGAGAAATAAGGGAGCTACCAATCCTTTGATATGGCCTGGGCTGAATTTACGTCTCTTGTAAATTTTGTACAGTAACGGTTGTGTTCCGTGATGTGTAGACCAACACTGAGTGAGGAAGAGTGCTCTAATTACAGGGGCTACAGAAGTGAAGGCAAGAGGGCTAGTCCTCAGCTGCCAGTTAAAAATAATAATAATAATAAAGCTGCAGACGGGAAAGGATTGATTTATAATGGCTGTGATGACGGAGTGGTCAGACTATCTGATAGTACTACAGGTGTTCTCATTACATTTCCTTGACTTGGCAACAATTCCATGCAGTGGATGACCTTACTTTGAAGATATCATGTTAAGTGACACACAAATCACACCTGCTTCTGGTCCATGTTCTGTGTTTTTAGGTTTTGAAAGACCACGGGCATGACTTTCTTGTTGGCAACAAGCTGAGCAGAGCAGATGTGAGTTTACTGGAAACCATTTTAATGGTGGAAGAGTTCAAGTCTGATGCACTTGCAAAATTTCCTCTCTTGCAGGTAATTGCATAGACAGTCTTAAAGGAAATAAACCAAAGCAGAACCAGTGATTTAAATTGGTTGAGAAAATATGGGGGTGGGAGGGTAAGAAAATAAAATAAAAGCAATTATCCTAAGTGGTTTTGGCCAGCCTGAAATACTGGTGGTTATGGTGGCCTTCTGTCACCTCAGCCACCAGGGTATCAAAATGAACAGGAGGTTGAAGCATAGATTCTTAAAATATCATAATATCTCAAGTTGGAAGGGACCTTTAGATCATTGATTTCAGCTCCTGGCTCCACAGAGGACCACCCAAAATTCAATCTCATGTCTGAGAGCATTGTCCTTGAACTCTGGCCTTTTGGGGCCATGTTCCATGTCCACTCTGATCCTTCACCTTCTTGGTAGCCCTCCTTTGTACACTCCCTAATGGTTTATTGTCCTCGTAATACTGTGGAAACCAAACCTGCACGCACTGCTGGAGATGTGGCCGCACAATACCCTTTAGGGAGTCAAGTGCTCCTCTTAACCTATGGTCATCTGCAAACCTCATTTGGATGCATTTGAGTTGTACATCCAGAGCATTTATAAACACACTAAAGGACTGGACCTAGAATGGTGCTACTGGGGGACCTGCCACCAGGCTCATGTAACCTAATGAACTGCAATCCTGACAGCTGCCATTGTCTTTAAGCACAGTGCTGTTTCCCTTTTGTTTTGTAGAGTTTTAAAGCAAGAATGAGCAATACCCCCAACATCAAGAAATTCCTGCAGCCTGGCAGCCAGAGGAAACCACGTCTACAGGAAAAAGATATACCAAACCTGATGGCAATTTTCCACTGAACATCAATCTAAACCCACTGAAATTCCTTTTTTTTTTTTTTTTTTTTTTTTTTTTTTTGTCTTTTATTTGCTGATAAGCGAAGTGAAATTAATGAAATTAGTGAGAAGGTTTGTGATGTCTCTTTCTTTTGCCTCCAGCAAATGCTTCCAAAGCAAATCACTCAATTACGCGGTACACTGGATGAAATTGTCTTAAATACTTAAGAGTTTTCCTCAAATAAAGTCCCACTATTGACCTTACAGTGCATGCTCAGTGTCATCTTGCTGCTCCTCACACATCGGAGGGCTCTCTCGTTCTCTCTTACAGACGCTCCCCAGAGTTAACTGGGCGAGCTGCCCGCATGAGTGGCAAAACCCCCAAACGCAGCGGTGCGTTTCCAGGGCACAGCGCGCACCGACAGCAACGCCGCGCACGGAGGCGCAAAGTCAGAGCGCCGCCAGGCAGCGCCGGCCAGCCACCAGACCACCACGCCGCGGCCCCGGGACCGCACGCAGCCGGCACAGCGCGCCGGGGAGGGCCGGGAGGAGCGCGGGGGTGGAGCGGAGTGCTGTGCGCGGCGGCGGCTCCTGCGGCCGTACAGGAGGCGGGGGAACGGCTGGGTTGGCCTCGAGACCCAGTTTGCGGCTCTGCTGTGCAGTCTCGGGCGGTGATTTGCTTTTATACTCTATCGGGAGCCTTTTCCAGCTCGGGTGGTTGAAGGAGAGAACTTTTGGTCCGAATTCCAGTGGAAACAGCCCTCTGGTAAGCGATTGCAGTCGCAAGACCGGGCTGGCTGCAGCAGGGTCT